GCATCCCCTGTAAAAGGGACGTCAGTACGAAATAATGTACCGAGTGTGCAAGGCAACAGAATAACTGAAAGCTGAAACTGAACTGATAATATAATAACCAAAATTAACTAGGAGTCAAAGATAATCTAAAGATGTGCTTCTGCTGATACTAACTCAACTCTCTTAATATAGTAAGTTAAATAGTTTTCCGGCCCTATAAGGCTTAGTATATGTAACTGCTCTGCTGTAGTAGGCTCGCTCATAGGCGCTCGGCCATACTAGACTCTGTATCTTGTCCATTCTGGGCTCGCTCATAGGCGCTCGGCCACAGTAGGATCGATATATAACTTACCATCGGATCAGAGGTTGTCCAATAGGGGCCTGCCCATCTATTATAGCTCGATGGTGGTGAAAATGTAGTAATACTGTATATATATATATATATATATATATATATATATATATATATATATATATATATATATATATATATAGCAGAGAGTCTATATATATATATANACATACTGTAATACTGTATATATATAGACTCTCTGCTCTCTTGGTTGAAAGAAGACAAAACAATATTGAATATAAAGTCCCGATAAGGGAGAATACTGTAACTTATGAGACTAGGATAATGTGAATAAATTCAAAAATACGAACTTCTCTTTATGTCTCGTTATCAAACACATGTCGTTATGGGATCATGCCAAAATGAAGGAAAGATTTAGCCTTAACATACCTTATCACAATCTGTCCAATAACCACATTAAACTCGTCTTGTTGCATCTTAATCTACAACAGTGATAACACTACTATGATCAAGTTATGGAAGGTACAACTGTCGCACAACGAATGACAAGCTTATTTTATAATAAGATGGGCAACATCTCCCCTATAATTTTTACTTCCCCCCAATTTGACATAAAACCAAAAACAACAAGAACACAACAATAAAAACATGTATATATCATTTTCCAACCTTATATCCATCACAAAATACCACAAAACAGCCCACATACCCCAATCATACACGAATCAACAACCCTAGTAGTGCCAAACAACCCAAAAATGTAACAACAAACGAACAGCCAACCACCCTTCAATTAGGTGGTGTTTCTCCATACCCTTTCTCCTCCCAAACTCCATAAAAACTATTGCAACAGATATAACCCAACAGCAACATAAAATAGCCCACAAAACAGTCCCATAAGTTCAGCCACTCAAAATTGATTTTTTAGTTTACTAAAATACATTTCGACTTGGCTTCTCTTTCAAATTGAGCAACACAACCAACAATACATAATTAAGCCTCTTATAATATAACTCATCCATGAATTCAACTTGAAAATAAGTTTACAGCTAGGTAACAATGAGGCAACAACAAACAACATACCACCCTTTCGAAACACGCTAGGTCTAGTCTTTATGATCGGTTACAACTCGTGCAAGCATATATAATGGAAGGAGAAGCTAAAATTTACCTTGTAATGAGTATAAACAACGAAACCTAGCCCTTATCATCAAAAATGAGTCCCCTAACGCAGCTAAAAGAAGGAGAAAGAGAAACTAGCAAGTTGTCTGGGCTTTTCGGCACTAGAATCACATCGTAACACCCGAAATAACCTAGAGTATGTATGGTATTTTTGAGTTGGAGTTGCAGGGGTTCAATTTGGTTTTCTTGGTCTAAAAGATGGGTGAAAGAAGTGAGTTGATATTCCCTTAAAATTCCCCTCTTGGCATGTTGGCCCAAGTAAAGGTGAAGTTATGAAGACCGACAAAGGAACTCATACATGGACCGAGTCCATCTTGTGCAGCACAGTTGTGATCAACCCAAACATGTGAGATGCACGTGAAGGAGATAAACCTAACTTACCAGAAGTAATATCTCCTAGTAAATCTCTAATTACTAACTTCTTAAATATCAGTGCTCTTTTACAGGTAATTCACACAAGCAGAAGTTAATCATGAATTGAGAGCAAAATAGCAAGGCAATTTGCAAGCAATTTATGTGTGATTCGAGCGTGCAATGCTGAAGCTACTTGATGTAGATAGAACAACCAGTTCCAAGAGTCTATCTTTTATTCTAGTTCAATTGTAGTAGGTGATTTTACATTGTACCTTTCAGCTTATTTAGAAGCAATTGTATTAGGTACTTAGAGTTTTCAAGTCAGAGTTAACTTGAAGTTGTCGCAACAGCTGAGGCTGTGTGCCACAACAGGACTAGAGTTAATCCTAGGTTTACAAAAGAGTTTTTATAAATGCAGTTTTTGGCTCAATGATTTTAGTGGAGAGTTTGGGAAAATCCTACTGGAAGGTAAGTCGTGGTTTTTTCACCTTTTGAGCCAGGTGTTTTCCACATAAAATCTCTGTGTTCTTTATTTTCTGTATTTATTATTCCGCAACATCAGTAGTTGGAACATAGAAGAACTAGGTCCTTCTATAATCAAGTTAAGCAAAAATTGGGTACCACACAAATCACCCCCCCTCTTGTGTGGTATTGAAGTATAAAACATCAATTGGTATCAGAGCTGGTTATCCTTAAAGAGGCTAACACCTTTGGAACTGATCTAACTTCTGGAGTTAAAACCAATCAGGATGAACTCAATCAGTTTGAAAGAAGCCAAGTGTGGCATCTGGTCACAAGACCCAAGGACGGATCAGTAATTCGCACTAAATCGGTCTTCAAAAACAAACTTGATGAAGATGGAACAGTTACAAGGAACAAGGCAAGGCTGGTGGTCCAAGGTTATAACCAAGGGGAGGCCATAGATTATGATGAGACCTTTGCTCCAGTTGCAAGACTGGAGGCAATAAGACTCCTCATAGCCTTTGCAGCACACATGGAATTTACCCTTCACCTAATGGATGTGAAGAGTGCCTTCCTAAATGGCTACTTAAAGGAAGATGTTTTTGTCAAACAATCTCCAGGGTTTGAAAGTAAGGAGTGTCCAGATCATGTATACAAATTGGACAAGGCCCTATATGGACTCAAGCAGGCTCGTAGAGCATGGTATGAACGTCTATCCAAATTCCTGCTTGAACATGGATACAAAAGAGGTAAGATTGACAACACTTTATTCTTGAGGGAAAAAGGTAAGGATCTTCTAGTAGTACAAATATATGTTGATGACATTATTTTTGGGGCAACCACTGAAAAACTGAGTAAGGAATTTGCAAAATTAATGGGGAGTGAATTTGAAATGAGTATGATGGGTGAGCTTAGATTTTTCTTAGGCTTACAGATCAAACAAAACTCAAATAGAACCATGATCCATCAGCAAAAATATGCAAAAGAGTTGATTAAAAAGTTTAAAATGGATGAATCAAAAGAAATAGACACGCCTATTGCAACAACTACTAAATTAGACATAGATGAACCTGGTTCATCTGTTGATCAGAAGTTGTATAGGGGTATGATTGGCTTTCCAAAACTAATTCCAAATTTCTTTGGTAAGGAATGTGTATTTTTATTAGCTCGTGCAGTTGGTAACCCATTACATATAGACCTCGCAACTCAAAATAGGACTAGACCTAGTTTTGCTAAGGTGAAGGTGTAAGTTAATATGTTAGGTAATTTCCCTAAACGTATTAAGATTGTTGAAGAAGCTGATGAATCTAGGCCAGAAGAGTTTAAATGGATTAAGATACAGTATGATGATATGCCCAAATATTGCAAGCCTTGCAAGAAACAAGGGCATAGTGAGGCAGAATGTTGGGTAATTCATCCTGAGTTACACAAGAGATTTGATAAAGATGTTGAGGATCAAGGAAAGGATAAGACAGTTGTGGTAAGTACAGAAGCAAATTCAACAAAGGTTCTGTCAAGTGGAAAGGTGGTTGGCAAGCCTGTTACTAATCATGCCAAGCAGGAATGGATACAAGCAAGGAAGAACAAATACCAACAGGATAATAGGGGTCACATTGTTGATAACAAACAAGGTAAGGAAGCTGACAAGGGTAAAGGGAAGGCCAAACTTGAGGAAGTAGCAACCAAGAACAAATTTAATGCATTAGAAGTTGAGGAAGCTCATCAACCTATTCTACAAATTACTGAAGGCAAAGGTGAGGATCTTAGCAATGGCAAGAAGAAGGAACATGGGGAAAATCAGTCAAAGAAGGGCTATGAGAAGGAAAAAGAATGCAATACTGGAGCTTCAAGCCCTAATCTAACTCTGGGGTTAGGGTTGGGAAGGATGCTAATATTAAACCAGTGGGAGAAGTTAATCAACAAGAACTTAAGCGTGTGAAGAAGGAAGCAGTTGAGAAAGTGTTGAAAGATTAAAATAATGGGAAGTTAGCTAAGGCTAATCCTATTGTTCCTAGTGATCAAAGTACTGATGAAAAGACTAATAAGGAATCTACAATCGACTGGGTTCATAGAAGGTTTAGAACTAGCAAAGAGGAGCTAAGGCAACTCAATGTGACTACAAACCAATCATGTCAAAATATGTCGTCTCAAACATTTGCAGATTCTGGGCAGCTTGAGAACCTTGATGAGATAAACTCAACAAAGGACGGAGGGAGTGATGCAATTGAGGTGCAGGATGATCAAATAGGCACGACAAAGACAACAGGAGACAAAGTGAGGGACAACAGCCCACCTGGCGATAGGCTGGCGACGCCAGGCCTGGCGCTAGGGTCACCTGATGAAGCATCGATAATTAACACTATTCCTAGTGCAACTGGCAAGATTTTGGCATATGTAGATAGTGTTTCGGTGATGCATTGGAGAACAAACTTGATGATAATGTGAAGTTTAGGGATGATACAGTAGGATCGGAGAATAACAGTGAAAAGATTGATGAGCACGCAATTGTTCCAAGAGCATCTGGAGAAATAGAGGAAGTGCCTATGGAATATGGCACTGATCAAATTATGCAGTGCCATATGGCAAAATCTTTGCCTTCCTAAAGAGGAAAGGGGAACTAGGTTTTAGGTCCTTACATGATGTGTCGAGGGCATTGTTTGCTAGACTATGGTGGAGGTTTAGGACCACAAAATCTTTATGGTCTAATTTCATGTGGAATAAGTATTGCAAGAAGGAGATACCAACGGTGGAGCAGTTTAGAAGGGGGTCTAAAGTTTGGAGAAAAACGCTGAATGCTAGGGAAAAAGTAGAACTTGAGATTCTATGGGAATTGAAGAGTGGAACAACTAATATTTGGCATGAAAATTGGACTGGATTGGGTATACTTTTTTATGTATTACCTGAAGACTTTCCAATCAATGAAGATCTTCAGGATGTGGCAGAATTACGGCAAGGTGAAACATGGGATGATCAGCTGCTAGATCAAACCTTCAATGAGGAAATTTCAGAACATATAAGGCTAAATGTACATTTGAAGGTAGTGAGGAATACTGGGATAGGCCATACTGGATGCCAACTCCTTCAGGCAAGTTTAGTGTTAGCAGGGCTTGGCAAATATTAAGGCATAGAGCTGATCCTAATCAGGAATTCAAGTTAATGTGGATTAAAGGCTTACCATTTAAGATATCCTTCTTCTTGTGGAGATTGTGGAGGAGGAAATAGCCACTGGTGATATATGGAGGAGGCAAGGTCAGATGGTGATGTCTTGGTGTTGGTGTTGTCAGCAGCCCCATGAGGAATCTATTGAACATATATTTATCACAAGTCCTACTGCCTCTAATGTATGGAAATTGTTCATGGGGGCTGCTGGAATTACTGTGCTATTGATTCAATTGAAGCATGTTATAAAGGATTGGTGGTATGCTCAATGTTGTCCAAAGCTAAAGCCATTGTTTCAAGCAGTACCAACTATCATCACTTGGGAACTCTGGAAGAGAAGAAATGCAGGTAAACATGGGGGTTCAGTGTCGACAAATAGGGTGATTCATGAGATCAATAGGACATTGCATCAACTGGCAAGGGTGAGGTATGCTTGGATGCCTAATATTCCATTGTTATGGCCAGACATAATTCAATATTTTGAAGGATATAAACCTATATTGATCACTACAAGAGTAACATGGCAGCTTCCTTTTCATGGTTGGTACAAATGCAATACTAATAGAGCCTCAAAAGGAAATCCTGGTCCTAGCTCATTAGGCTTTTATGTGAGAAATGATGAAGGTGATGTGGTATATGCAAGGGCAGTAGACCTGGGAGTGAGAACTAATGTGGTGGCTGAAGCTAAGGCTATTATTCAAGGATTGGAATATTGTGTAGAGCATGATCTTCACTCTCTCATATTGGAGACTGATTCATTAGTGATGAAGAAAGTGATAGAAGGGGAATGGGATCCTCCTCGGGTAATTGCAAATGATGTGAAGAAAATTAGAGAGGAAGAAGGGGAAATTCAATGTGATCTTTCAACATGTGTTCAGAGAAGGCAACTCAGTGGTGGATTTATAGCTAGCATTGTTTTCTCTTTTGCAAGTACAACTGAGTTTCACTCATTGTCTGAACGGCCTAGTGTAGGGAGGGGGTTGATTAACTTAGACAAGTCTCAAACTCCTAACCTTAGGGTTAGAATAGCAAAAAGAAGAGCCCCAGGCTGATAGCTTCACATGATTGGAATTTGCACATACCTACTTGTTGATTTTATGTCTCGTTCTGTATGCTATTATGGTACTTTCCAGTGGTATTAGCATGGTCACATGCTCATTCTGGGGGTGATTTGATAGTGTACAGGACCAATGTGATAAGAAGGTATTGGATGGTGCAATTTATTCTACTTCTGATATGTTCAAATCTTAAGGAAAAGCTTGGCTTTTGCCTTGAAAGACTGCTTAAAGCCAGCCCCAGCCTGGCTTTTGCCTTGAAAAGCCTGCTTAAAGCCAGCCCCACCCTGGCTTTTGCCTTGAAAAGCCTGATTAAAGCCAGCCCTAGCCTGGCTTTTGCCTTGAAAAGCCTGCTCCAGTCCCAGCCTGGCTTTTTCCTTGAAAAGCTTGCTTAAAGCCAGCCCCAGCCTGGCTTTTGCCTGATTAAAGCCAGCCCCAGCCTGGCTTTTGCCTTGAAAAGCCTACTTAAAGCTAGCCTCAGCCTGGCTTTTGCCTTGAAAAGCCTGCCTAAAGCCAGCCTCAAGACAGATGTAGCCATGCTTTTTACATGATAATATTGAGGATCAACCACATGATTTACACTTGGATACAATCAGTACACTGCATATGGAAATCATATTGTAGCAACACGAATGATTGGAAGACTATGTTGTCTTCAGTTTTGTGGTGGAGATGATTGGAATTCATTCTAGCCTATGGACTGGATACACTGGCGCCTGGTGAGAGCTTGATAGATGCTGCTTGGTATTTGCCACTGGCAATTGGATTCACATACACTGATAGGAGAAGGAAGCATTCAGCGGGTAATGTTATAATAGCTAGTTCATTAGTCTTTAGCTTCTCTATCTTTTAGTAGCTAGTAACTTCATGCATATTCTATTTTGGCTTGGACATCTTGTAAGCTTTAGACCCATTTTGGGATTTTATTTATATATTAGCCACTAGACAGCCTGCCTAGTGGTATATTTGCTAAAAAAAGGGCCATTCACAGCATATTTCACAATTAAACAAGCAAGAGTAAAATAGAGGCTAAATAGACTAACTAGTCAATATGGTACCAATAACACGTAGTAGAAATTGAAAAGATTCCCAAATGATGTTCCCAGAACGTAGAATCCCGGAAAATCAGAGTTCACAAGGACCTGTAAAGATCTCGAGCAGTGTTTATACCGGAAAGGATAAAAATTGACAGCCCACTGCCTTGGCTTTCAGCCGGCCATAAATCAACCAAACAATAGTGGAACCAAGAAAATAGAGCAACAAGTGTATGTGAGAGATGAGAGATGAGTGACCTGAGTCTGCCTCTAAGGGGAAGGGGGGGGGGTTTATATAGTACCAGTATTAGATGAAAAATATGGAAAGAATCAAAACCATGCAAACATAGTCGAAATCGAATTTAGCGAAAATCACACACAAACCCTAATCACAAAGAAAATAGCACAGATATGCCAGAATGGGAAGATATTCTCTCTTCTTGGATGTATGAAGCCAAGATCGTATCCAAATCCATAAGGTCGAAGTTGTATCTACCCGATTCAGGAGAATCATCCTTGTCGTAGATGGACTGGTAACTAAAGTTACAATAGCTGAGTAAGTAAGAACAAATAAGGCAGGTGAACTCGTGTATGAACGCGTATATAGAAAAGGTGAAGGAAATTCTTCATAGTCAGCCAGGGTTTAGCTTTGGGAGAGAAGAGAGCGTTCGATGACAGGTGTGGGTGTTAAAATAGGATCAGGGTTTGGAGGTCGGGTGAAATAAAAAAGGTGGAAAGGCTATAAGTCATTGATCGTTTGAGATCAAAGGACGGATTTTAAAAAGGGTGCTAGGTCAGGTATACCGAGTAAAGGCCGGGTTTGAATAAGGTCAGTAGGCGGGGTCGGCCAGTTAGGTTCAGGGGCATTGGGCCTAAGAGTTTTAGGCCTTTTGGTCCGAGTTTTTAAGCCTAATTTGGGCTGAATTTTGACACCTACAAAATTAAATGAAATAAATTATAAAAATAACTAATCAAATATATAAAAATGCCATTTATGACGTTAAAGTAGTAGACTATGACTAAGAATACTAATTTGACCTAAATAGTATAATAAATATAATTATTAAAGTATATGAAAATAACGCATAAATAATATAAAATGCGGTACAACTGTAGGATTTGATATAAAATGTCATAACATATGCATAAAAATATAACAACAACAACAACAACAAACCCAATGTAATCCCATAAGTGGGTCTAAGGAGGGTAGTGTGTATGCAGACCTTACCCCTACCTACAAGAAGGTAGAGAGACTGTTTTCAGTAGACCCTCGGCTAAGGAAAGGTAAAAGGAAGGACAAAAACAAGCACACTAATCAGAAAGATGAAGCAAAAATACAAAACTATCACTAGGTATTGCAATTAGAAAGCCAAAATGAAAGGAACAACAAGTAATAACAGAAGTCAAGAGATACGAAAATACACAAATAACACTAAGTCATGTACGAAGGCTACTGTCACACACAAGGACAACGCTCAACTACATAACCTTTTACCTTTATTCTCAACTTCCACACCTTCCTATCCATGGTCATGTTCTCAGTAAGTTGGAGCAACGCCATATCTTTCCTAATCACCTCTCCCTGATAGTTCTTCGACCTGCCTCTACCTCTCCTTAGGCCCTCCAGGGCAAATCTCTCACATCTCCTCACCGGTGCATCTGTGCTTCTCCTCTTCACATGCTCGAACCATCTATGTCTTGCCTCCCATATCTTGTCCTCCATAGGAGCCACGCCCACCTTGTCCCGAATAACTTTATCTCTAATTCTATCTAACCTGGTAGCCCACACATCCATCTTAACATCCTCATTTAAGCTACCTTCATCTTTTAGACATGGGAGTTCTTGACTAGCCAACATTCCTCCTCATACAACATAGTCGGTCTGACCACCGCTCTATAGAACTTACCTTTACGTTTTGGTGGCACATTCTTATCACATAAAATACCAGAAGCGAGCCTCAACTTCATCCACCCCACCCCAATACGATGTGTAATATCCTCGCCGATCTCTCCATTCCCTTGTATAACTGACTCAAGGTATTTAAAACTCTCTCCTAAGCATGACCTGAGAATAAAGCCTCACGTCTTCGTCCACTACCTGAGTCGCACCACTGAACATGCACTCCAAGTACTCCATCTTGGTCGTGCTCAACATAAAACCTTTAGACTTAAGGGTATGCCTCCAAACCTCTAACCTCTCATTAACATCGTCTCGCATCTCGTCAATCAGTACAATGTCATGTGCAAAAAACTATAAAAATATAAATAACTATTTTGGCCAAGTGGTCACTCATAAATAATTTAAATTAAATATCAGTTGTAAAATGCTAAAATCAATTTTAAAATGTTAATGATATAGATAAAATTATTTATATAAAATTTCTATAATAACATTTTGGGAAAATGCTAATGAAGTAGTAATAAGACAATTAATTACTATTTTAAATAAATCATGGAGCAATAATGCAGGGAGATATCCTATAAATAATATTTAAAAATATATTTAAAAAATACATTATAAAGTATAAGAAATCACAAGGGCTAAATGGAGAATCATGAGGGAAAAATTGAGTATCAACAACTGCCCATCTTTACCCAGGAATGATGAATGAATTGTCGGATAAAGAAATTAAGTTGATAATCAATTTCTTCCGAAATTAGATGATGTAAAATATGTGGGCCGAACCCTGGTACTCGAGCTACCTACATATCCCACGTTTTATAGAGAATCAGGTCGTGTATAGTTCTGGGTCCCAAGGTGAACGGGGCTATGGATTATTATAGAAAGACTGTGTTTTTAGTGATGTTGTGAACGATTTATATTGCAAATGGAAAGTACAGGTGACAATATTGCAGAATAGATCATTATGGATGCGTGAGGCAATCTAATTGGGGAACGTTTACGGAAAAGGAAATGATCGACTATCGATTTGCGGTTTCTTAGAGATATCAAAGTAGCTTGAATTTTAAACGGAAACTAGAATGAGAATTGCTCCCGTTTGAAGAACGGTTATCTTTTGTGCTACCTGAGAAACTCAAAACACAACAAATATAGCAAATATATACACACGTAGTAGTTATAATATCATAGCTATGAGAGCTGGAATTTAAACATGATGCAAATTCCCTTCGTACCATGAGAGTTGCCTTCGGACAATGAGAATTACGTCATTAGACCATGACGTCCTGGGCAATGAAGCATATAAAAGGAATTTGCAGGCCATGAAATGGTGTCCTTGGGTCATGAGGATGGTGCTTTCGGACTATGATGCCTTTGAATAATGATGTGCAACTTTGAGATCCTTAGGCCATGGGACGTTGTCCTTAGGCTATAAGGGATGCCTTCGGACTATGAAGCCTTCAGATAATATGGCGATCTTTCAGCCCATGAGATGCAAGAATGTAGACATATTTGATTATTCAACAAGAAAGGTAGGTAGTGCTTAACCCTATGCAGATAATGAATGTAGTGCTTAGCCTTATGCAAGAACGGAGGCAGGGCTTTAGCCTCATGCAAATGGTGGAAGTCAGTGCTTATCCTTATGCTAGTAGGAGGGCCATGCTTGGCTGATGCAATAGTCAGGGCAATACTTAGCCCTATGCAGATGTGGAGGTAGTGCGTTGCCTCATGCAAGTAGGAGGGAGGTGCTTGGCCCTATGCAAATAGTGAGGGCAATGTGTCACGACCCAAACCCCGCTCCGGTCGTGATGGTGCCTCTCGTGAAGACAAGGCCAGCCAACAAACCCATATCGCCTTTTCAAAAATAGTCAAACATTAATAAACAATTTAAATACGATTTAATGATATAATTAACGGAGGCACAACCCGACACAACCCAAATCGGGGTGTCACAAGTCACGAGCGTCTATTAGAGTGTAAATCCAACTACAAGGTCTAAAATATACAAAACCAGAATAATGAACAAAGAGAGAAAAGCGGTGCTGCGAATGCTGGCAGTC